CTCTCGGTGCTGAGGGGACTCCGACGGGCCACTGGTCCTTGTGCCTTCTGGTCACCTTTGGCATTCTTGGCAGGCTTTGCCCTGTCCAGCTCTGATTGCCAGTTGGTGGGTTCTCAGCACCCACGGCCGGGAGGCTGAGCTCGCTGCAGGGCCGTGGCTGCTGGGGACTTCTCAGAGCTGTGCCGAGGGGTGCGTGGGCAGCCCCAGGGATGTGGGGATCCCTCTGGGCCACTGGTCCTTGTGCCTTCTGGTCACCTTTGGCATTCTTGGCAGGCTTTGCCCTGTCCAGCTCTGATTGCCAGTTGGTGGGTTCTCAGCACCCACGGCCGGGAGGCTGAGCTCGCTGCAGGGCCGTGGCTGCTGGGGACTTCTCAGAGCTGTGCCGAGGGGTGCGTGGGCAGCCCCAGGGATGTGGGGATCCCTCTCTTTCCCCCCCACCCCCCCCACACACACTGCTCTTGGGCTTCTCATGTCCCAAGGCTGGTGGGCGACTGTTCCTGATGTCCCAAGGATCTGCCCTCTCCTGACCCCACAGGAAAGGCGGTGGGGCAGGCCTGGGCCAAGAAGAGTGAGGCCAGCCAGAGGTCACCCTGCCAGAAAGACCAACAAGGGGCCAGAGACCAGACTGGACAGGGCCCCCTCTCAGGTCCCACCCCCTTTCTGGCCCAACAGAGGGCCTTAAGGAGACAGGGTGGTGGCCTGGGGCATGGCCATCCCTCCCTTCCCCCCCCCATGCAGGAGACAGCCGGCAGGTGGGGGATGATAATTCTTCCCCCCCCCCCACGCTGGCCCAGCAGCCTTGTCAAACAAGAAACAAGCATTTCCAGGGTTTATTCCTGTTCCTAAACTGCCAGCCAGGTGGCTGAGTGTTTGCAGGGTACTGGCTCAACATTATTGGGAGGGATCCTGTCCCGTTTTCAAGGAAGGCTTCCATCCTCAGTGTTCTGCCTTGGCCGCTCCATTTGAGATCTACTCCCCGCAGGCTGTGTAGGGTCGTGTCCTTTTAAAGCGGCATTCCGGTCATGGCCCTCCTCCCACCAACTCTCAGGACTTTGACCTCTCAGATTGTGCACGCCACCTGTCACTATACTGGGCCTCAGCAGGGGCTCCAGGTGTGGCCCCATCGTGGTTTCCCTGCCACGGATGACTCTGATATGCCTTGGCCCACCACATGTGCATACTGGTCCCTTTTTCCTTTTTTCATCTCTAGCATTGAGATGGTATAGTTTTATTTATTATGTTCAATTTTTAAAAAAAAATTATTAATTCAAAATAAACCTACTACTACACAAAAAAGAAAACCTATATAAAAATACAAAACAATAGAATAAATAAAATACAATTAACCCTGTGCTCCTATTATGTTCAATCTTGCCAGAATAAAATACTATCTCCATGCTTTGTTGTTTAGTCGTTTAGTCGTGCCCGACTCTTCGTGACCCCATGGACCAGAACACGCCAGGCCCTCCTGTCTTCCACTGCCTCCTGGAGTTGGGTCAAATTCATTCTGGTAGCTTCAGTGACCCTGTCCAACCACCTGGTCCTCTGTCATCCCCTTCTCTTGCCTTCACACTTTCCCAACATCATTGTCTTTTCCAGGGTGTCTTCTCAAGAGACGTCCAAAAGAGTGGAGCCTCAGCTTCAGGATCTGTCCTTCCAGGGAGCACTCAGGCTTGATTTCCTTCAGAATGGATAGGTTTGTTCTCCTTGCAGTCCAGGGGACTCTCAAGAGCCTCCTCCAGCACCACAATTCAAAGGCATCCATTCTTCAGCAGTCAGCCTTCTTTATGGTCCAGCTCCCATACATCGGTACTAGAAAAACCATAGCTTTGACTATGCAGACCTTTGTCAGTAAGGTGATGTTTCTGCTTTTTAAGATGCTGTCTAGCTTTGTCATCGCTTTCCTCCCAAGAAGCAGGCATCTTTTAATTTCGTGGCTGCTGTCACCATCTGCAGTGATCATGGAGCCCAAGAAAGTAAAATCTGTCACTGCTTCCATATCTCCCCCTTCTGTTTGCAAGGAGGTGATGGGACCAGTGGCCATGGTCTTAGTTTTTTTGATGTTGAGCTTCAGGCCATTTTTTGTGCTGTCCTTTTTCGCCCTCATTAAGAAGTTCTTTAATTCTTCCAAACTTTCTGCCATCAGAGTGGTCTCGTCTGCATATCAGAGATTGTTGACATTTCTTCCGGCAATCTTAATTCCAGTTTGGGATTCATCCAGTCCTGCCTTTCGTATTATGTGGTCGAATAAGACCAGATAGGCGGGACAGAAATCAATCAATCAATCAATCAATCAATCAATCAATCAATCAATCAATCAAATAAATAAATAAATAAATATGTAT